CTAAATATTTTTCAAATCACTAACTCCTTGAAGTCCTCAATCTAGTGGATGGAGGTAGTTCGTAAGTCAACCGTGCAATGAACAAGAGAAATAGACAAATATCTATGTGTATGGTGAATGTCAATCTGCTTGAGAATCCTTGCATTTATCTGAAATATCTAATCAACTGTAGGATGTACCATTTTCTTACATCCTCACTAGATTGCAGCAGCAGGATTTAATTGTACTGGACTATAATGAAAGCGTCTGGCAACATTAATAGTCATAAAGGTGTTGCGGTGTTATGCGGATCTCTGCAGTTCTATTCAAGCCTACAGATAGTGAAGTATTATGATGAATATTGTACAAAAGGATTCCTTTATATGGAGCAAGGTGGCTTACATCGAAAACATATCCCAAAAATAAGAGATATCTAAAGCACGCTCAAGTAACTGCGGGCTTATTCGCAGAGAATAAGGACAGGAAATAGCGTTTCGTCTGCAGTAAACTTTGCGATAACCAAAGCCAACTATGGCCGGATATCGGTATTCAATATGACAGGAAACAACGTATTTCACATCTGGCGCCTGGAAAAGCGTGCAGTTTGTTTTTTGCCTGAAGTGATTTAGACAGAGAAATTGAATAAACCTGCCCAGTCTTTTAGCATTTGAATATCTGGAGGAGTGTTAAGAATGTGAAATGATTTCTGCGTAGTAAGATAGGTATGAATAAATGCCACCAACCCAGGACACCGGTTTGATTCATTCCAGCTGCTCAAGAGAAGGAAGTATTGTGATCGCGAAATTTTCAGATAATTCAGGTTAAAGCTTTTTTATGATTTGGGACGTTTATATCGCTAAAATTCACGACACGTGCAAGATACTCAGTACCGTCGCTGGGCCTGATTGTTGTGGTTTTGCATATTCTCTTGACCTCAGAAATAGAGACACCGATTTTGATTGAACCCAACATTCGATTTTGCTCATTTATATAGATTTTAGATCATTTTTGATCCCAAATAATCAAGCTGCACTTATATTTGACCGCTATTCAAGTTCTCGTCGATCGGGGTGCAGACATAAAAATGTGAAGGTATTGAAATTTGAGTTTTAGACGGACCGAGAGAAAATCTTATTTCGATAGAATACGCAATACGTATCTATACATGTAATATTTCGAACAGCAAGGATCTCCTTACAGTATAATGCGCTACACCAAGGTATCGGTACGTCATATTACAAGCTTCTTTTCAACAACACGGGTCCGCCTTACAGGTTCGGCTCTAGAATTCTTCTAATTTGAAGATATGTTTGTGGTTTGTGAGTTTTGTACATTTAATTTTCTGCACTCATTCGTTACATCGTGATTGGCCTTATTTTGAGATTTTTGATTGATCGTTAATTCATCAATCCTTCGGTCCAAGGTTTAGTCGTACTTATCGCCTAATTCAGTGCCTACCCATATAGTGCTTGTCACAATGCATAAATATTATATTCTTATCCGTAAAAATAACATCTGAAGATTTCAAGATGGCCGCTGGGCGCTATTTAGTAACATTTTTTAAATGAAAAGAGGGATCGTGTGATTCCGTATCTTGGAGAACCGTATGTGTACTGCATAACCCATGTATATAATCTTTCCACATAGCAGACTAGAAAGCTGTCAAATTTGAGTATTTTTGTATATAACTCAACAACTGATCACAAAAAGTAACAGTATATGAAATCAACCTTCGTCTTTTGGAAGGGTCTATCTGAATGTGCAGCAAAATATGAGACACTCAGTTAAAAAAATACAGATTTTGACACTTTTATTAGATGATTAGTTGTTGAGTTATAAGCGACTTAGTATACAAACACGCCAAACTTTGACAGCCTGCCAGTACGTCATTTTTATATGCCTTCCAGACTCACGGCGAGAAGTCTCGGCGAGAAGATTCGCCGAGACTTCTCGCGAGCAACGGCCACATTCACACTGAATCTCACTTCTGTTCTCGTCTTTATACGGTATGGATGACAGTGCAGCGGCTTTGATGGTATCTGCGTTGGCGTACTATAACCTTGTAAATATAACCATTAGGAATAGAATTAACCCTTAACTGGTGACGTGCCGTATGAGATACATAAACGGTGAGGTGCCGTCTGGCAGACTATTTTTTATATGAGGTTAAAAATTAAACACAATTGAAAATTTTCATTATTTTTTTATTAAACATAATTAGTCCGGACGTTTTTGAATATAAACTCACAAAAATTAACAAAAAAATACCCTAGAAAATCATGAACTAAAAAACATAATAAACAAAGAACTTAAAAAATGTGACCATCGAACAAGGCTGCACAATCAAAAGAAAAAGACAACCAAAAGTGTTTTCCTTCTGAAGTTTTGTTGAAAATATATAAGGAAAATGTGAAAATATTTATGCATTACTTATTTTAAAAAAATATGCATTCCAGCAACTATAAATTTTTATTGTTTTTCAGAGCAATTTTTGCACATTGGATGGGTGCACTGTAAGCAAACGGGTCGTTTGCATTGCAAACAAAGGAACTTTGTCATTCTGTTTTTTTTTTCTTGGACATAAATAACAAAGTTTACGTTTTTCTAAAACCAGTTCCTGCCTCTGAATAAGTTCCTCTTCTTCTGGTATTCCAATAATACGCCTAATTGAAGTTCGTATTTCACGGGGGATTCGAGGATTGACCATACGCCTTTTCATATGTTCCTGCACGAGCTGCTTAGCCAACTGCATTCCAAAAATGCTCTTCTCTTTGATTATAGTGTTGTTTTTATAACATTGGTGAAGTATATAAGCGTTTGTAACTGAGATATCGAGAAGGCGGAAGAAAATTACTAACGGCCATCGGCGAGATCTTCGACTTGAAGAACTCTTCGAACATTTCTCGTCTAGTGAATCTACTCCGCTTTTATTCTCATTATAATACGAAATTATTTCGGGTTTTCCTGTGGAGGGATCAGAGAAAATCCTATCATGCATTGAAGATATCAAGACTGTGGCCTTCCCAATTTTTCCAACGTGACTTATCAATGTACATTCTTCTCGAAATCCATAAAGTGATGAGCCTTGAGGTCTTTTCCTATTTGGCAAGAAAGTTGGTGGAATTTCAGCCTTATTTTTCTTCATGGTACCGACATAAGTGAGATTATTTTTTCGTAAGACGTCCACTAGCTGTATAGATGTGTACCAATTGTCGGCAGTAATATTACGATTGGTGCCGAAAATTGGACTGCTCAGGCATAATACGGCTTGGGTAGGTTTTAATAATTTTTTATCTTCGGCAGGTAGTCCAAATCCATCAGAATCTTTTCCGCAATAAATGTACGCGTTATACAGATAGCTATTTCTTGCATCAGTCAAACATTGAATTTTTATGCCGTACTTTGCCGGCTTATTAGGCATATAGATTTTGAACGAACATCTGCCTCTGAAGCTGACAAGCATTTCATCTACTGTTGTAGACTGACCAAGTCCATATAAGCTTTGACATTTTTCGATGAAGCTATTGAAAATAAAAGAAATTGCGGCAGTCGGATCGATTTTTTTACGCTCTTCTCTGTCTTCAAAGATGTCAAATCGAATCACCGCAAGGAGAACAGAAAATCTTTTTTTGCTCATCACTGCTCTGAACATTTCGCGACCAGTCCCATCGGTGGCAAATATTCTGTCAATATTTTCGTGATTGGAGTTGAATATAGCTGTATAAATTAAGAGGCCCAAAAATGCTTTCAGTTCAGTAATATCTGTCTCTCCAAGTTCACTTCTAGATATATCAGAATAACGTACACGTATTGCACATAGCTTTCTGTTAGTGCACTCCACAATCTCTTGCAACATGTTGTCCCCAAAAAGTAACTTCCAAACTGACAACGGATCAGCTGCCTCACCAAGACTTTTAGCCCTTGCCTTCAAAGTAGGAACTTTTATGACAATATTATGTTTTCTCGTTTTTGATGAAGGGCGAACTTCTGACGTACACCACCTATAACGATTTTTTCCATACACATAGGTTTTTTACTGTCTGTATCCGAATCGTCTATATTTGGATCATCAGTGTTCACCTCAACTTCACTATCACCACCGTCACATGAAAGTTCCGAGTTTGACTCATGTTCGGACTCAATAACAAAGTTTTCAGGTACATCATCTATGTCACTTCCACTGTCAGACGCCTCATTAAACCACTTCAGAAGGGTTTCTTCATAATGGGGATCACCTAAACGGACACGTTTCGAGGGCCCGGCCATATTTTCGAAATTAACTATAACAAAACAACTAACACTAATAGTGACGTGCCGTCCGACAGACTGTGGTTCTAATAAACTCCGCAATAACCTGCAAGATACTGACGCGCCGCCACCACAAATTTGATGATCTGTTGTCGGCTAATAGGACGAGGAATAGGTGGGGGTATAATAATGTGGGCGGGACAAAATCCAAAATATAGACAAATATTACTGGCGTGTAGTCTGTCAGACGGCATGTCACCAGTTAAGGGTTAATAAGAAAAGGCCCAGACGTTGGTGAATGACGCAAATTCATCTATGCAGAACAAGGCTTGAGAATTTTATTTTTTTTTAAATTCTGGTTTATTTTTTTATTAAAAATTATCATAATACACATTATATAGTAGAGTAAATGTATAGGTATTTTCCATTTCAGCTTAAGCATGCAAAGTCAGTTGGGAGAACTTGTTGCTGAACCAAGTGGAGAATTTAAGAAGTTCACGCGAATGTCAACTACGGACTTTGAATTTTTGCTCAACAAGATTTCTCCTCTAATTAGCAAACAAGATACACAACTTCGAAAAGCCGTACCAACCCGAATGCGTCTTGCTATAACATTGAGTTACTTGGCCACGGGAGATAGCTTTCAAAGCCTTCATTTTTTATTCAAAGTGTCACCGCAATTGATTTCAACAATTGTTCCCGAAGTATGTAAAGCACTGAATCAAGTATTGAGAAAAGAAATACAGGTGAGTTTTGAACAACATATTTATTAACTAAGCATTATTAAAGGCATTACAAATAACATCAGAACGATAGGTACTTCTCAATAGGTCGTCCGAAATAATGTGTATGTTTGAGCTACTTTGTGCATCTGCATTTTGTAAGACATTAACTTGTGGTGATTCAGAATACATTTGAATTGTATATTTTTCTTTGGATGGTGTCTGAATTTGTAGTGGTTTAGAATACACTAGGAGTGTATGTTCTACTTCTGATGTATGAATCTCCGGCGATGCGGAATCTGTCATACGGACATTTTGTATAGAAGCCATTTTGTGTGACAGAGGTTCAGAGTAGCAAGAGATACCAGGGGAAGGGGAAGATATAGCAGATGAAGATCGAGTGTATTCTGAAGATGGATTAAATACTGTGTTTGTGAACCTGTTTGGTTGCTTTGTTCGTCGACGATTGAGAATTATGGCATCGAACTCATACATGATTTCTAGTCGTTCTTCTTCAGAGAAAGCTCTTAATTTCTTGGCTAACCCCATGCCATATATTTCACAGTCATCCGGGGGTTCTTGAGACTCTCTTCTTTTAACACTTTCTTGAAACAAACTCAGTGCCTCCTTCACATGCCTTCCGGCCTCTTTTACCTCGCACTGAAGGGAACGAGAACGACCAGTTCGTGGTGTTGTTATTTCATTTTTGGTTTCTCCTGGATTATTCATTATTTCCTCTTCTGAAATAATTGTACTTGTGCCTGGCTGTTCATCCTGAAAATAAAAGAAAAGCATTAGTATAAACAAATTATTTATTCCTTTTCAGATTCCATCATCCGCTGAAGAATGGCTGGAAATCGAAAAAGGATTCAGCTCAAAATTTCCTAGAGCCATTGGTGCAATAGATGGCAAATGTTCTGACGTGTCCACAAAATTCAGGCTCGGAGTACTTCAACTACAAGAAAAGTTTCAGTATTGTGCTCATGGCATTAGTCGATAGCAAATATAACTTTATTTTTGCTGATATTGGTGGTCAGGGAAAAATAAGTGATGGTGGAATTTTCCGACATACTTTGTTGTGGGAGATGATTTCTAGCAACACTTTGAATTTACCAGCGTCACATCCACTACCAGGTTCAAATGTTGACATACCTTACGTATGTTTGAGTGACGGTGCATTTGCACTGCACCCGAATATCATGAAACCTTATCCTGGTAACCATGACAGGGATAGCCCTGAACGCATGTTTAATAAAAAACTATCTGGATCACGCGTAGTCGTAGAGAATATATTTGGAATATTGTCATCAAAGTTTCGAATATTTAAAAGGCCAATTGAGCTGTGCCCCGAGAAAGCTTCTGTTATCACCATGACTTGTATATTATTACATAATTATTTAATAAAAAGCAATACTTCATCACAAATGTATTCCCCACAAGGCACTGTTGATGTTTACGATGATAACGACACTCTTATTCAGCCTGGGACATGGCGTATAGATAATTCAAGCACTAATGCTATTCAAAATATACCACCTATAGCACGCCGAGCAGCTGCCAACGCAAGGCAAGTACGAGATGAGTTCAAAAATTATTTTTCCAATGTAAATTGAGAAAAAGCTATAATTTTTCAATTTACATATTTTTACTGTACAATGGGTACTAAAATGTTTATTGAAATAAATGAAAAGTTCTTACCCTTGATTGCGTATTTATTGTTATCTTCGGAGCAAGTCCATCACTCAGAAATCCACCCAAAGCCTCATATGCAAACCATACTGGTTTGTAAAATTCATTTTCCCCATCACCCGATTGGTAGGAATCTTTAACCATCTTTCTGTATTTCCGATAACTTGCAAAAAGAGATTCCTTCTTCTTCTTGAGATCTGGTATTGGTAGGTCCATCAATTGTGCAATTCTACCCCACGCGTCGTGATTTAGATTCTTGTTTTTGTAATTTCGGTGTTTTGTGTCCCATAATATGGGCTCTGCTTGAAAAAACTCTATAAACTTCAATTCTAGGTCATTGTCCCACATTTTCTATTTTAAAAAGTTCAGGAAATAAAACAAAAATACTTCCACTAACGTCGCAAGAATAACGTTGGTCGCACGTCGCACTGAGAACGGAGAATGTGGATAGCGTCCTTTTTCTCGCCCGAGAAACCCTTTGTCTCTTGTCAAAAATACCGACACCGATCGGAGAACAGGCGAGCGCGAGAACGAGACGGCGAGACACCATTCACACTCCCGCTTCTCGGGTGTTCTCGGGGCTTCTCGCTGTGAGTCTGGAGGCGCCTTTAAAGATGATGATTTCAGAGTGCAGGGTTACGTACACAGGGTGTCCCGGATGTCGGTGTCAAGCCAGAAAAGGGGGATAGGCCAAGTCATAATAGTTGTCAGATAAAATATAAAAAATCATGTACTTTTCAAATTATAGGCTTCAAGACAAAGACGTAAAAATCTGCATAATCTACACCCTGTGATGATCTCTTTTAGTTTCCATTAATCCAAATGTCAGCTTTTCCTTTGACGGAGTGACCGTCAGTGTCATTCTAGTTGTAGTAGTGACAGCAAGACAGATAGAAACGCCACATTTATTAATTCATGACTGGGTAGTGCAAACCATCTCGATGTTCACCGTACAGGAGTACGCCAGCAGCACCTCTTTTAAGGGGAATGCTGGTGCTGATCACCAAGTTTTTGCGAATGTGCACCGCTTACTCTCAGAGAGTTTCCTTTCCTTAGGAGGACGTCGTACCCCCCCCCCCCCCTTTTTCGACTTGACGTCTATTTCTGACACAATCTATAGCTATAGTATATAGTGATTTCTCATGATAAGCTACAAAATGAGGTACCGCACGACCCCCGTCCCGTTGCGTTTAAAAAAATGTCGCAAAGTGGCGCTCAATCACCATCTTTAAATTACCAACCGACACTTTCACGCTAAAATATAATATTCATGTTAAAAGAATAAGTAGGAGGAGAACCTTTTTGAAAAGCACTGTTAGTGTAATGTCACTGTCGCCTACGCCAGTGAAACGTATATATGCGCGAAGTTTATCCAATCTGAAAATTGCGTTTGGAAATAAACCTAAAAATAACTCTGCCTTAATCCCAGAGCACTTGACATTAGCCATTTTGTTATGGCCGGCCAGTTCGGAGGAAACCCGTTTAAATGTATTACGTTCCAGCTTACTTGCACTGACTGCTTTGATAAAACCACTAAAGCTCACTCACAACTGCTACTGTAATATGAGTTTATTTGTTCCCCCAACTTCTTCTGATTGCACTGTTATCTTCCACAGTTGAATTTTTCGTTTCAGTGAGTGAGTTCCATTACCATCGCCATCTAGACGCCATCTAATCAATACTTCTTTTAAAAAATGGCGACAGCTAGGTTGATTCTACACTTCCTAAGCAACGATGTCCCTATCTCTGTTACTGGCTAAAAAATACTCAAATAGTTGAGGTCATTCGATATATTGACAGCGTAATATAGACAAAGCATTTGCCTTTGATGCATCCAAATAGGCAGACAATGATCTTTAAAATTTAGTCCCTAATCATAGGCGGAATAGTCGATAACAGCACGAAAGATTTTGTTCGGTACAAAGTAGCCCTATTAAAAAAAAAACGTTAGCTACGAATGTGTATAACAAATGGATCAATGGATCAAGTCAGTCAAATGAGCCCATGTAACAATAAGCTCTAAGTCCTTGCCCATTTAGTAACGTTTCAATCTACCTTCTCTTCTGCCCTACTACTGGCCATCCTGTTGCGGTCACCCTTACCATGAATAAGCCTCGCCAGCGGAAACCTTACAACAAGTTTATATGCTGTATTCGTTGCGTTCGATCCGGGTATTTGAGAATATGAAAGTTTTGAATGCAAATATACGGGGAAGCTGATGTGTGAAATATACTGAATGGCGTAGAAAATGCAACACCGACTATGGGTGCTGTACTTTTGAGCATACTTTTATAAGCTTAAGGGCCAACTGATAAATAGAAAGTGATTAAAATGTTTAATAGAAATTTCGCAAAATAGCTAAGACATCCCACCTCAATGTTAATAATATGTTGAAGCTCCTCTGTTCGATACACATTCTTTAAGTCGTCGCGGCATTGACTGAATTAGGTGATTGATGTCTTATTGGTGTATTGTATCCCAGGCCATCTGAATTTGGTTTAGTGGAGCCTCCAATGTTTGTAGAGGGTGCAATGAATTTTGCAACCTTCTTCCCATCATATCCCCTACAAGGGGGGAAAGCTCTGGAGATCGAGGAGGCCACGGAAGCAGATTTACTCCGCATACTTCTAAAGAGTCTAAACTAACACATGCTGAAAAAGGGGATCTTGCAATGTTTCCAAAAAATGAAGCAGACGTGGTTGTCAAACTTCGTAGATACGAGTATAGCGCTGAACAGGCATGCTATCTCGAATAAACATTAATCGTGATCTGCTGCCGTAAGCAATGACACCCCATACGATAACACGCACACTGCGATGAATATGCCGTGCGATGGAATATTGGACAACATGTCTCCTCCTAATATCAAGTAAACATATTCATATTGTTCGTATACTGACATGATAAAAAAGTTTTTACCCAAATTGAATAAATACTTCTGGGTGTTGCATTTTATATGTCACTTAGAGTATGTCCTACAGATTCGTAGCGCTATCGGGGTTATAAGCGTGCTTATACAGGGTGTTTGGAAGGTCGATATAAAGTCTTGGGGAGGGGACAGGGCAGAGTATTTTAAGCCAAACATACCTCAGTACATAGCCTTAAGGTTTACGAGATATTCGGGTTTTCAAATTTAAATCATAAATTAGTAAACGAAACAAATTAAATTATTGAAACATTCTTTATTGGTGTTCAAAGTGAGAACAATTATTGTTTCTAATACATGTTCGAGCTCTACGGGTTACTTCGGTAGTTGTTGTATTTAATAACCTGTCTTGCTACATTAAATGAAGAGCAGTTTTGCTTATTAAATGGTCTCTTGATACGATTTATTCAGTGTAAACTAACTGTTTTTCCCGCCCCCAGACATAGAAATCCAATGGTGTCACGTCCGGGGATCTAGCAGGCCACGGAATTGGTCCACCTCTGCCTATCCAGCTATTTGGAAAAGTATCGTCCAAATATTGTCTTACGTCTAAACGGAAATGAGCTGGACATCCATCGTGTTGGAAAACAATTTGCATGTCATCTGGAATTTCTACTCCAACAAAAAAATTCGAGCAGATGATTTTGCAAAAAGTGTAGATAACTGTCACCGTTTATTCTTTCAGGCAAAAAATGATGACCGATTAATCTTTGCCCCATGACGACGGCCCATACATTAACAGCAAATTTGTGCTGAAAAGACACCTGTTTTTTCCAGTGTGGATTTTCCTGCTTACCAGCCCAATGATGCAACTTAATAAAATTTGTAATGCCCTCCTTTAAAAAATTGGATTCGTCCGTCCATAGAATGCTTTCCAGGAACCGTTCATTCTCAATGTCAGTAAGAGAAAACGACAAAATTGGCTTCTGCGAATAGGATCACCATCTTCAAGTCCTTGAACGCCGATACCATGAAAAGGATACTTACGTTCACGATGCATGATACTCCAAACCTTCTATGGAGACAAACTAAAATAAACAGCAACTTTGCTAGTATTTGTAGTGGGATTATCTTCAAACGCTTGGAGGATTAGATCTTCGGCTTCAGGCGGATATCGACCTGGATTAACACCAGGTTCATTACGTGTTGCACTTCCACTCTCATAAAGACGTCGGTAGGTATTGTAACATTAGGCAATCTTCTCCCAGGAAATCGCTCTTGGTACAACCGTCGTGCTTCTAGTCCGTTACCATCTGCTCTGCCATACACCATGTAAACGATATCTGCGTATTCTTCGTTAGTGAAAGCGGCCATTTTACAAACTAATTAATTCAGAGCTTTTGAACTGAGATTCATGAATTACTATTGACTTGTTTGGAAAGGAATAATAATAATAATAATAATAAAGCATTTATTGCCCAACAGTACAGATACCATTTAGAGAGCAATACATAATACAATGGTTTAATTTACACAGTCTGTGTGTCATAAAGTGAAACAAAAATAAAAAAAAAACACACAGAAAAGAGAAAGGCGCTTTAAGTAGAGAAAAAAGAAACTATAAATATGATCAATAGATATTAGGAAACCAGAATATACTGGTATATACACAAATATCCATATACACATACACACATATATGAGTATACACATATACAGGTATACATATATACACATAAATACATACATACAATACATACATATATATATACAACAAATGAAAACCCCTAGAGAAAGGCGTAAAAAAGTCAAAGATGTGAACGTATAGCACTTCGTAATTCCTGAAATCCACAACAGAAGATATCACAAAAACTCACAATCCTATTCGCATTATTGCACATAAAGTTTATTGGTGCTTTAGATAGAAGATTTGTCTGCGCCCTCTTGCAGTAAAAGGAAACCTTATATTTAGATGTCAATCTAGGTACCAGGAAATTAATTTGCGATAGCAAAACAGGACAGTCGATGTTACCATGCAGTAATTTGTATAAAAATATGATGGACGCCTGCTCTCTGCGCTTTTCCAAAGAAGGGATGCCAAATCTATTGAGTAATTGTGAGTAGTCACATCCTCTTGGAGGATAGACACCATCACTCCTATAGCATAGATATTTTAGAAATTTCTTCTGCACTTTTTCAATATTAGTTTTGTACAGTTTATAGATAGGACTCCAAATAATTGCACCGTATCCTAATTTACTTATAACAAGCACTGAAAATAACTTAATAAGCGTTGTGTTATTGAAATTTCTACAATTTCTGATAATAAAGCCATATTTGCGATACGCATTACTTATAATTTCACTGATGTGGTAGTTAAAAGTGAGCTGACAATCGAAATAGACTCCCAAATCTCTGAAAGTTTCACACCTTTTTAATACAGAATCATCTATTTTGTATGGGTAAGTTAAAAATTTGGCTTTCCGGGTGAAGGTCAAAATGCGGCATTTAGAATTGTTCAAATACAAATT